GCCCATCGACCGGCGATACCGCGGTGATACACCACAGCCACCTAGAGGTGGCTATATGCATGCTATATGGATACACTCGTCCACCGCAACAATGCTGTTACTTCGACATCGAACAATATCAGTTTCAATTGACGACTTCCGTTACGAAGAATGGCCTTTCCTCTGTAGAGCAGTGATTTAGGCCTATGAATAAATTCACAACTGAAGATACATTACGATGGATAATACTTTAATCAGTGGCGTCATTTCACCAAATCCTTGGAGGGGCAAACACCGGTGGGCATGGGGGGTATTCGTAGTTTAGTAGTTTTGAAACAAAAAAGAGGGGTTTAAGCCTATTTTAATTGTGTAAAAGCACTTCAAATAAAAAAAATATGAGTAACATTTATTTAAAATTTAGGCAGAAAATTAATGAAACAATGAAACTATTATTGACAACAGACAGAAACACAATAATTTTATGTTGGTAAGTTAGTCATCTAAGAAACGTGATCAATAGTTCCATGATGTATTAATATTATGTTTGTTATTAGATTCATGACCAATTTCTCTTGTACAACATTTAGCAATGAATACGGTTGTTCATAGCCTATAGTTTATAACAGTTTATTTTGGTTTTTAAATAAAATACATGTATTTAAGAACTTAAAAGTAAATAAAATTTTATCACCAATAAAATAATTTGACACAAAAGTACAAAAGGTTGAAGGTTCTATTTAACTATATTAAATTGGTAGTCTACAATGTTCAAAATAAATTACGTAAAATGAATGCACATGTATAATTTTAATGCTTGAATAATTCATAAAAGTAAATAACAAAGCAATGCTTCTAAAAAATCTGAATTTTTATGTATATATATAAACTAGAAATAAGTGGTTTATCGTACAGCACCAAACAGAAAAAGTAATTGAATAACAAAACAACTAATTTATGTAAACTCAAAATGTGCTATCTAAGACAATAAAACAATAATAATTTTTGTTTCAAATTACTGTAAAAGAATATACAGATTTTTGTCTGCTGTGCTTTTTAGGATTTGACAGGAGAAAATATTCGTATATTGGCTAGTACAGCATATTTTTTTCTCTAGCCCAGGATCCAGGGGGGGGGGCGTTCGCCCGCCCTGCCACCCCCAAATGACGCCCCTGATTTTAATGATGAAACTCCTAACCTAATGAAATAGGTATATACTGAAACAAGTAGCCTATGAGTTCAGTAGAAAATGTCATGTTTCATGTTCAAAATTGTGAAATTTAGTAGAAATATGTTTTTGGTAATTTTGTTGGTATGTTAAGTTTACATGTCTGAATTAGCAAAAAAATAGCTAATGAAATTGATAACTCATATCCACATTTAGTAAACATATTTATTTGGTTATGGTTGGTTATACTGTTTAAACTAGGATGATATATTATGCAGAAAAACATTATAAGCATTGTAGACCCTTCTTTATTTTTATTTTTACTCTGGTTGCTTAATATTACGAATATTATAATTTACTATGAATCAAAATTTATTTTTTATGGTATAAACCATAACTATTCAGTGTATATTATATGATACATAAAGATTAAACAGTAATAAACTTAGTACCCAAGTAAAATTATTTATTAAAATATTTACTGACTATAGTTTCGGCTCTAAGGTCATTTTCAAAGTAAACAAAAATCAAAATAAGATATGTAAATAAATAAATAACATATGATATTATAAAAATTTTCTAACTATAAAAAACTATTATAAAAACTACTACATTGGTCAAACCTATCGAAATTTTAAAGTTAGATTCAACGAACATATACAGGCGTATAAATCGAAGAACAAAACATCAATGAAATCAAATTTTGCAGATCATTTACTAAAATCCAAACATAAGTTTACTAAGATCGAAGAAAACTTAACAATATTAGAAATTGAAAAAGACAGAGAAAAATTGAATGTAAAAGAAGAAATTAATATTTATATGAACTATAAAAATAACAAATCAAATATTTTAAATACAATGATTCCAAAATTGAATAATCCAATATATGAAACAATTGCAAAATTGAGAAAATACTAATGAAAATAAGTACAACACATCATATAGTATATAAATTAATCAATGAAGACAAAATTATGTTACAAGTTAGAAAATTTTTATAATATCATATGTTATTTATTTATTTACATATCTTATTTTGATTTTTGTTTACTTTGAAAATGGCCTTAGAGCCGAAACTATAGTCAGTAAATATTTTAATAAATAATTTTACTTGGGTACTAAGTTTATTAATGTTTAATCTTTATTTATATATAGTAGCCCTATTTTTCTATTTTTCATATATGATACATAATATGATCTAAGACTTACCTGAATCTAAGTTCCACCAGAAGGAGCTGTTTATGCACAAGAGTTCTTACAATGAGAAAAGGTCTACGCTACGGGTCAGTTATATAGAGATAACGACGAGAGTCGACCAAAATTACTCGACGGAGAATCTACGTTGCCGACAGCGGATAGTCTACGTTGCCGACAGCAAAGCGTCGACGAGGACGGGTCGTCCAAAGTTCGCATTTCGCAATCGCCGACGAGAACTAGTCGACGACCGACGTTGGTTGACGAGAAAAGTTTTGCGAAGAATCTACGTTTCCGACAGCGAAGAGTCGACGAGGGCGACCCGCGGAGAGGTTCGAGTTCCCGACGAGATTTTGTCGACGACGAAAATATTTTGACAAATTTGCGATGCCGACAACGAAGAGTCGACGAGGGCGACCCACCCAAAGGTTCGAGTTGCCGACGAGATTTTGTCGACGACGAAAAGATTTTATGACAAATTTGCGATGCCGACAACGAAGAGTCGACGAGGGCGACCCGCCCAAAGGTTCGAGTTGCCGACGAGATTTTGTCGACGACGAAAAGATTTTATGACAAATTTGCGATGCCGACAGCGATGAGTCGACGAGGGCGACCCGCCCAAAGGTTCGAGTTGCCGACGAGATTTTGTCGACGACGAAAAGATTTTGACAAATTTGCGATGCCGACAGCGAAGAGTCGACGAGGGCGACCCGCCCAAAGGTTCGAGTTGCCGACGAGATTTTGTCGACGACGAAAAGATTTTGACAAATTTGCGATGCCGACAGCGATGAGTCGACGAGGGCGACCCGCCCAAAGGTTCGAGTTGCCGACGAGATTTTGTCGACGACGAAAAGATTTTGACAAATTTGCGATGCCGACAACGAAGAGTCGTCGGAGCCGACCATGAGAACTGCTCTATTTTAAAATATTAGCACAGGCTACTACTACATAAGATAAATTTTGTAAATCGCATATACAGTAGTTGGTGTTCAGCTGGTATAGGACAGGCTACGCATTTTTTGATGATTTATTTATTGTTACAGAGTTACTATAATATTGTTAGAGAAACGCTAAATATATTATTTGAATCTGGGTCAATTTTGTTAACTGCCAACAAAGAACAAAAGCCAGTTACGAGACTCCATAACACTTTTAGAAATAAAAGCCGGTATTAAGTCGGGACTTGTCTCTATAATCAAACGTCAAATTATTACAATAAACCCCACCGCAGCAAACCTGCAGTGGGATTTCATATTTCTGATTGGATTTACCTAAAATAGTTTTCATGAATTAGACATCCCTAAATAACATTACATTTAATGAGTGTTTGGTTTTGCTTTTGCTGCTACGGGGGAGTTTTATCATAACGTATATGATAATACCCCCGCCGCAGCAAACCTGCAGACTAAGCGAATTCCATTTGCCTGATTGGATTTACACTAAAATGTCTGCTTAAAAATATCACATTTATTCCCTATCTAAAAAACATTAGTTTAACGAGTACTTAGGTTTGCTGCAACAGGAAGGGTAAAAGGTGTTTTTTTTTGTAAATTGTAATAGTTTAGTATGAAATGAATGCATTTACCAAATTTGATCAAAATATGTTCATAATCAAGCAAACTACAACAGTTTACTTATTCTCCATAAGAAAAACATGGGAATTTTAAATTTACAGATTTTTTGAATTTTCTCCGTAACCATTAGGTGCATAATAACGCTTCAATATACTAAATTATTTGTTTTTTAAGCTCTACAAAATGGCTTAGAAAGAAATTGCTAAATTTTAAGTTTTTTTTTGTAAAAAATTGGAAAACCCAATTTTTACCCCATAAAACCCCCCATAAACCCCTGTTCCCATAGTCCGATCATGCTGGTTCGCGAACTCGTTCGAATAAACGTAGGTTTACACGTTTTTACCAAATTTCATCAAAATCGGATGATTTTTGCTCGAGTTATCGCGCTAACGGACACATATATAAATATATATATATATTAATTTGAACGGATGGTGTTTTTGGTCTCTAGGGACCTCGTCAAAACGAAAAAGTAAATCGGTCCCGGGTCCAGGTCTTACCATGAGTACAACGGTTAATAGCTTATTCCCTATAGGGGAAATTCGCTAAAAGGATGAGGATACATTATAAATAGGATGAGTGATGAACAAAAAACAATAACTCACTAAATTGAACAGGCATTAAATAAGTGACAAATAGGGTACAAAAACTCAGGATGTAAATACATTGTAACTATGAAACATGAACTACTGACACTGTTATCAAAAATATGTTTACAGTATTAGGCTAACATGTTAATTTAGAGATGCTGGTATGGAAACAATAATGTGTACTGTAGATGTAGATCGACCATAAAAATAAAATGGTTCCATAAAAAAACCAGAAAAACTCAAACGTTGACGTGATTATGAAGTTATTAACAGAAAAATCAATCGTCAATATAGTCTGATGCACAGACGCTCCCCGTGGGGCGTTGCCTCCGCCATATTGATTTTCTTGTTGCGGGACAACACGGATAGGATTCCAAGAGCATACGACCGCTCCGTGGCGTCCCGGGCGAGTTGGAGGGGATAGAGTTGGGTTCCGTTCGGTTGGTGTTCGCAGTTCTCGGGTTGAACAGGAGAAAGGGGGGTGAGAAGGGGACGCGATGGGTGGAAGAGAAACCGATGATTATTGAAAAGTCCAAAGAGAGAGCTGAGAGGAAATAGACACACAACAAAATAGCTTATCTTCTACTTTGTTTTAAACAAGTGTTCAAAGTGTTTTTCTTCCGTGTTATCTTCTTAGACGATGTGAGTAAAAATTTTTAATACCTAATTTTTATTTTTCACAGTTTTAGTTGGGCATATGTTTTGAAAATAAGTGAGAGTGTATTGTCGTCTGCATGCAACACCGCCCTCTGCAGCTTCATCGATTTGTGTTTTGACATTACACACTATTCCTTATCACCTTCCTTATCTATACCGCAGAAGGATGCTGAGAAGACGTATATTTTTACTTTTTCTTTTAGTATGTAACTTTGGTTATGCGAAATGAAAATGGCAAAATGAAAATTTTATGCTCTGGTCGCGACTCTAAAAGCGAGATCGATAAATCAGGGCGCAAAGGGAGAGTGAATTGCGGCGCCCGTAAAATCTGTTTTCTGTTTTCATTTTATTTCTTTTTGTAGACGTGTATTTGCTGTTGTTTTCCTCTTTATTTTTCTACGACGTTGGAGACTCCTTCCCTTTTCCTTAGCCTTCATCATTTTTTCTGATCCTCCGATCTCTACTTCTAGACTCTAGTGTGAAGTTATGAAAAAATATAGTTAAATAAATGCTTCCTCAATAGCTTTGGCTAAGTGTAACCACGTTATTGAAGGCTGAAAAAGTAATGGACTAATTTTCAATTTTACCTTGACTAAGAAAACTCCTCAATTAAAGATTCCAATTGAAGTTGTTGACTTAATGCTGGTTTGGATTAAATATTGCCACTTATGGTAACTTATGGCATACTTTAAACAAAATAATTTAATTTTACCTAGTTTAATATTCTGAAGGACCATTAACACTTGTGCCTTGAAATAACAATGGGTTTCATACTGTGCAACTAGATTACAGTGCAAAATATTAAGATTTTTAGTTTTAAAATGGGGCAAACCTGGCTAACATAAGTTAGCCATATTCCATCCCATTTTACAAATAAAAATTTTTAATATATCAGCTAACCTATTTCTTTATCGATTTTTTTGAACTTGGCATTGTTTGATAGGAAAATAAAATTGCTTTATAAAAGTGTTCTTAGCATTTTCTTATAAATTCAGCCAATTTTTTAAATTTAAGCTAAACAACTCAAATGGCTGCCATTTTTAGTTGAATTAAGACAATTTTCTTTCTAAAACGGGTCTCTTCTACCTTAAAATACTTACCAATGTTTCATAAAGATTGGTAGAAAGAAATTTAAAGATAAAAATTATGAAAAAAATACAAAAATGTGGTTAACGAAGCGATTTTAGAAAAAATGTTATTCTTGACTTTTACTTTAGGCTATATTACCCTAGGAATCACTATGTAAATTATGTCCCCACCTTTTTTGAAAACCTTTGTAGGCCTATATCACTCAGAAACATATTTTTTGTCTACACATGTGTACACCTCCTTTCATTAAAAACAAGGATTTGATATTTTTTCATAAATAAGTTACGCATGTGGATTTTTTACGCTTTTTTTAAAGCTACTGTCACACGGAGTTAGTTTTTTCACCGCTAGTAACCAGCATCTACAACCAGCATAAAATCAGCATCGTGTGACTGATTCTCTAGCTGCTAGGAACACTCGCGAGCTGGTATCTCCAGCCTCCAGCCACTGGAGGTTTTAAACACTTTAATATTACAAGCTCTTGAAGAGTCACTAGCAGGCCATGTGATCACCCAGCTGTGGTTTCTAGCGCCATTCCAGCTCCGTCTGACAATATCCTGCTGGTTCTCGCAATAAGAAAAATTTATTTAATACAAACTAATCAAGATTAAATTCAAACTTTCATGTTTAGAAATTTTTTCATGCATTGCCATACTTTTCTCAATGTTACGATTGCTACATCTCACCTTTATTAACTAAACTATAGCTGGCCCGACAGACGTCGTCCTGTCCTAATGTGGTTTTATGTCTAATACGTCCTAGGTTGAAGTTCGTTCGCTACGCTCACTCACCTTTCAGTTGCAAATTAGCTATTGTCGTAAATAAAAAAAAAAATAATTGTGCTGCACCCTGTTGGTAAACCTATTAACTTTTTAATGCTATTGAAGATCACAAAATCAAATTGTTTAGTTGAACCAGCTGTTAAGATTCTTTAATTCGATTTAAATATGAGTACTCATAAGGTTAACGTGGGAAACTCCAGAGCCACTGGGGTGGAGCCCTCTTGACGGATCTGCACCAAACTTCACACAAACCATCCTTGAATATTGTTTAATAATACCTGAAAGTTTCATTACAGTCTGTCGAGCGGTTTCGGAGTCCATAAAGGACAAACAAACATACATTGGATTTTATATATATAGATGGAATGTGTTTCTTTTTGTGTTGATAAAAGATAAAGCACTTTTTTTATAGGCCTACCACAACTTATTAGTTTTTAATTTGTTAATTTACATGCCCGTAGTAGAGACAAAATAATAGTGTTTAAATACATTTAAGATATTAATTTTCCCTTGCACTATTTTACTCCTGATGATGGCTGATCATAGACAAAACATCACTTCTAATACCAATAGACAACATTATTTTTTTTAAATACACACCCAGTTCCAATTACATCACCAGACTTGTAAGCTGTAGCGCTAGTTCTCCAGCTTCGTCTGACAGGACTTCTAGCGCGCTGGAGAACTAGCAACTAAAGCTGCTGAATCTTGCAGCGATAACTAGCTGCTGAAACAAGCTCCGTGTGACAGGGGCTTAAGGGAACGGTTGAATCCTTGGTATCCTAATTATTTAACATTGACCTTTTGACAGATATTAATAATTGATATATTAATTGAGATATATTAATTGATTTCTCAATATCAAATAGCATCTGGGTCCATAGTGATCTTGCTGGAATCAAACCATCGACTTCAAGATGTGAAGGTGAGCACAATATCGGAGAACGTCTTTGCAAGAGTCCCACTTACTGCTGCAACATGCTCGCCCAGGCTCAGCTGAAGTCAGAGTTAAGGGTTTAGTGCCAGTACAGAGAAGGAAGAAACAGAGGAAACATTTAATGCTACTCTTAAGTGTTGTCTAGCAGTCGCTGGTGTCTAGAGCAAATTTCCTTTCGTTTTCCCCTCCCACTCTCCTTTCCCCCTCATCATCATGTACTACAGCGCTCACACCGTAGTAAGACCATGTGCTACAACTGCTGTACATCAATGCATGTGGCCATTGCCGTTCAGGCTCTTCCTTGCTCGGTACAATACTGACCTTTTCCCGCAATCGTGTGGATATTATCATCGTTGCGTGATCACCATAAAATTCTGAGCCCTTGCAGCCGCGAAGACATCATTACATCGTTCCCCGCGATTACTGACATTGACATTGCTGTTTTGGTTCCACAGTTTATTATACCAAATGGAACCACCAATTCAACACCAAATGGTAAATTATAAAATTCCTTAGAATTACACCATTGCAAGTCTATAATCTGTCATTAGTGACATCCTCAAATTTTATTTTATATAAAATTAATAAACAATTGATATTAGGAAGAGTTGACGGTTGCTAAGGTGTTCCAAGAGTTGGTTTACCACACAGGAGGCTGAATGAAGGATAACATTTTTGTATTCTGCACGTTATTATAATGTGTAAGTTAAAAAAATATAATTATTGATTTCTCAATGACCAATTATTCATTTATACCTTAGGAGGAGGATTCATACAAGTCCAATGATAAAGATAGCTGGGTTTACTTTTGAACCAGAAAAAAGATTGTGATTTCCGATGTTAACCTTCTGCTAATTGATCACTAAATCAGCTCTACAGATTTATGAATGCTATTTTGTGCGTCTTTTGTATGTAGAGTTAATATTCTCTAAAGTTTTTTTTTTTTCAAATTACGAAACAAGATTTGTATAGCTACTGTGAATTTGGATTCTCTTTTTAACACTGATAAAGTTGGTTATATTAATTCAGTTATTCACTAATTAATAAGGTTATGTTGAGATGAAGTATTAAAGTTGTTTTCCACATACGATTGATGAGTTTGACAAAGCACCTCTATAATCCGGAGATAGCGGCAATGAAGGAGATAAGTGAAAGAATGGGAATAATTGTGTGGTTGAGAGTAATGTGAAATGAAATGGCTCAGATAACGAGTGTTTGATAAAGTTGAACACTTACAAAGCATAGTCTGATAGCTCAACTCCTACTGTAAGCATATGGTATAGAAGTCAAACAGCCTAAAGTGATATAAACTGATGGTTGAAGATGCGTTGGAAATCTTATCCGCGGATGTTAGATCTCTCGCAGAGGTAAGGAACGGATAAGTTTCATAATGTTCGGTTTCTATTTCATTTAAGTTTTTGGATACCAACAGTTTAAATTTAAACAATATTTGTTTAAATAGACTTTGAAAAAGTTTGTTTATATTATTATGGAAGCAAAAATAATTGCATCTGATTAGCAAATTACTGAATGAATATTACGTCCGAGTAAGATATAATTTGTTGTTTTCCGCACTAATTCAATGGAGTTCAGGTTGTTAGATTTTTGTTTGGATACCTGGATCTGGTTCCAAGAGTGCATGGGTACCTCATGGTACTTAATAATTTTTATTTTATTTTATCAGATAAAAAGAGTGGAGGAACATTTCAAATTCACAACGGGAACGGGTATATGTTTCCTTCTATTCTAAATGTATTCATCTTTGTGGAAACATGTTCATGAGTTGCATAGCTTAGGCCTATCTAAATTATTCATTTAAAATTTATTTTACAATTTTGTAAAATTTTGTATTGTAGTGCACTCAAAATCTTGTATACAAATTAAAAACAATCTTCAGACTTCTTTGGGAAATATCAAACTTATTTTTGTCCTACTTCTTAAGGTTTATTTACAAATTTAAGGTTTGAACATGAAATGCATGTAGTTTGCCTTCTGTTACCTATAAAAAATTAAATGAAAGAGAATTGCGAAACTTAAAAATTGATGATCCCTAAATATGTGATCCCTAAATATGTGGCATTCTAACCAATTTTCTGTCCAGCTTTATAATAACCGAATAAATCTGCTGAATTACAGAACAGTGTTCATTACTTTTTTTCATATCAGTGCTAAAACATATGTTTCTGTCAATGTAAACGAAAGGAAGAATTGGCACAAAACAATATTTTTTACATTTCCTTCTCCACTATTAAACACTGATAAAAAACTATGGAAAGTAGCAGCTAGTTGTGGTCCAATCTAGTTTCCAGTTTCTTTCTACATGAAGAGAATGGAAAGGAAGGGGAAAGAGAAAGGAGAAAGGAGAGAGTGAAAGTCAGAGGAACTAAGACTAACTCTTGTGTCTCTCATTCTTCTATTGCTCTGTGTTAGCTTTGTATTTGTTTTGTTAGTTGTGTTTTTGAATATAGAATATACAGTGACAGTTTGTCCCATGGTTCAAAGGTATAGGTATTGTTCTTAACAGTTTAATTTTATCATTGCTATATGTTCATTTATGGTGTGTACTTCCAAACATCTTAACCTATTTTTTTTTACCTTTGATAACTTAGGTTAGTCTAACCATGGATTAAACATACTCCCCTAGGTCATTTGTCATCCTTATGGATCAGATGAAAATTTTACTGTTAGTTCTGTCCGGTGCTTCTTGGGGCGTGTTTTCGTTTACATTTTGTTTCTTGTTATTTTAGTTATTTAAAACCTTGTTTAACTAAATAAATGATCCAATCTTAGACAATAGCTCGTCCCCTGGTTATATAACCACAAATAAAAACAGTAATATCTAAGTTAAAACTAGCAAAATATACGAGTGTAGATAGTTGAAAAGTATTTCTCTATTGCTATTCTATATTATTCGAGTGTCAACCTTAACTGGGCTGAATTTAAATATTAAACATCAAGGGTTTGAGATAAAAAGAAAGTACCCATTCAACAACCTTCAATCTGGTTTTAGTATATTAGTTTTTGCTTTGGGACAAGAGGCAGAGCCAAAGAAACATAGAAGCATATTCGTAGAACGGGTACGTCAGAGTCGTATAAATTAGTTGAGTGGAACATTCTCACTTTTCATTGCTGAAAGATCCTCACTAATAAAACATCTTATTTTATGTGGTTGTTTAAAGGATGGTAGTGTTACGAATAACGATGTCTGCTTGTTCAAGTTAGCCGGATTAGCAGGGCCGTCCGAAGGGGGGGGGAGGGGCAACTGGGGCAAGCTGCCCCGGGCGCCACCAGTAGCTATTTGTATTAACATAGTATTAAAATATGCGAATGCGACTATTACTGCTCCGGGCCCCGCCAACCCTAGGGACGGCCCTGCGGATTAGAGGGCGACTACTGATGACTTATATGTCACTCCTTTCAACAACTACAATTTATGTTACTTGTTCCAGAAGGGCAGTAGAGATGGCGGGGCAGCATTACTGCCTGCGCTGGAACAATTACCAATCCAACATGACCTCAGTGTTTCACCATCTACTGCGCACTGAGGCCTTCGTAGATGTGACACTTGCTTGTAACAACGACTCCCTGAAAGCTCACAAGGTAGGCCGTCGCTCTTAGCCCTTCAATGTTTTACCCAGTACGTCAAGGCATTTTGTTGACGTTAATCCTCTAACGCATAAGTAATTTAAATATCACGTGCTTTTGTATTTAGACTTGGTGGCGCTTGTCTTCTAAGGTCGATGATAACATGGTGACTTAATTAACTGGACTAGTTTGAGTGTAGCTCCGAGGTAATTCATTCTACATGTGCAGGCTCAATTCCTGTATGTCTGCAATCTATATTGTGCTAACTAATATGTGAAAGCCAAGTGAAAGAATCCACCTTAAACGATTAGTCTGGCTTGGGTGGATGTTGGTATTAGTGAGTATACGAACTACACGCCCCGGTTTTGTTTCTTTTTGTAGTAGTAGTAGAGATGGACATATATTATTTGTTTTTTTACTTAATTTTTTGTTAAATATGGACTTATCGTGCTGAAATTGATATTCTGGTCAGCAAATCAGCAAAATTATCTTGTCAAAGGGTTAAGGTTATTATGTAGGTACTTTAACATAATAACAGTGGTGTTTTATTGCTTAGAAACGTTTTACTGTCTAGAGTAGCAATTATGCTTCTTTATTGTCTGTCTCCTAAAAGTGGGAGGGGGGGAGAGATCCCTAGTCCATTTGACAGTATTGAGTGAAATGAAATCAAAATAATTATAAGGTATTGCATTACATAAATGTTAAAACTCAAAAACCAACTAAAAATAAAATCAACCTTAATAATTGTTGGTATAATTAGTTGCTATATAAATGAGAATAAAAATATCTTATCAGTAAACTGTTGTTACAGTCCATTCTGTGACAGATTCATCCATGCATCCACTTGAATGACTTATCAGCTCAATAAGTTGTTATGTTTCTTATCAATTGTCTTAATTCCATTATTGATATATTCTAATAAGTTAGGCTTATCTACACCGTAACCTGTGAAAACAACTTGAAAAGAAACTATTCAAAATCCTTTGTTTTATTACATGTACAAGAAAAGCTACATGAACAATAATTACTATTTACCAATAAATGTATGAAGGTGTCATGAATAGTGATGTAGTGGGACGGAAACAACTCACTTTACTTTTCCAAAGAACCTGTATATTAGAGCGACCGGTATTTTTCTGCGACCTTGGTTAGGGACTGGAAAATTTACGACTACTATGGTTAAAAATTGGCAACAGTAAACTAAAATGTATCAGAAACAGTCCAAATCCAAGTATTATTTAAAACTGAAAGTAAAATAACGCTACTTGAAATTGAGGCAAAATGCTGCATCTATCGCAAAAACATTTTTTCCCTATTTCCAAATTTTTTACAGGAGTCTTAAAGGTAAATTCTGAATGGATGTTTTAGTTTGTGACTGTTTCAACAGCAAATAAAGAGTTATGATTCTTAATGAGTAAAAAATGTTTATGTTTGTCAGATTAGGTTAAAATCTAAACCTTTATGGGCAAGATATTTTCACAGTGATTCAGGAGATTTTAAGAGTTACTATTTTCTTTTCTAAGAGTTATTGTGGATTGATTTTTTTAATATTTAAATTTTCTGTGAGGTTGTACAAAATCAGTACAGAAACATTTTATAATTCCCCATTATATTTTTATTATTAATTTTAATATGGTTTTGTCCTACTTCCAACGTTTTGTCATTATTTTCAATGTTAACATTTTTAGTTTTTGCCACTGACAGTTTTCTACGTTTGTTTCAGGTGGTTTTGTCAGCCTGTTCATCCTACTTCCAAAAGATACTACTAGACAACCCCTCACAGCATCCAACCATCATAATGCCTGCGGATGTGTGTTTCACGGATCTCAAGTTTATCATCGAGTTTGTTTACCGAGGAGAGATTGATGTTTCCCAAGCGGAACTTCAGGTTAGGATTCACTCTCAAGACAGTTACTTTTTTTGCTTAAGTTATTATGTTTGCTGTATATTTAATGACTGTAATTATTGACTATGAGTTTTAGAGTTTAATTTATGACTTGTTTGACTTTAAATGTGAGTCCGGATCCTAGTAGAATTTTGTTTTTGGAAGTTTATCTTTTATTTTTGTCAGTTTAAGTTGTCAAGAGCTAACAATACTTCTCAATTTAATACTGAAGTATTGTGGGGTTGTAGGGAGTTTCTGACAGAATAACTATAAACTCACTTCTCCAGTTTTAAAAAATCAGGTAGTCTAGCTAGATTTTTGGATCCTTGTCCACGTTTGTCCATTAATCATGGATTAAAAAAATATAGATCAGTAATCTGCCACATTAGTCAAAACTAATGTGACAAAGTTCTCAAATATATATTTTTTTAAGTTAGTAGACATTTCTAACTGACTTCTGAGGTTGACTATTGTCAACACAGATTACTTTTTACTATTATTTTAGTAATTCGTAAATAGTTATTTGTGTAACTAGTGTGAGTGCAGCAAAGGCACTACAGTTACAGTACTATTAAAGTACCAGTATATAAAATATTTAGTCTTTCAAACACTATCCAACTTGTTTTTAGGTTAGGTTAAATCCAAACATTTGAAGGAAATGGGAAACGCTGCGCCAGCTGATCATAGTCGTAATATCTTTAAGTGTTGGCAACTTATTTTGAAGCGTACACAGATTACGTGCATAATAAAAACAGACTGTTTGGTTGGTATACTAGAGTGCGGCAAAAAAATAAGATTTCGGCAAAAGTAAGTAAATACAGCAATTAGCTATAATCAGTGCTAAGCCCACTTTGTCAGTTGACTGTAGGAAAATTAATAAAGAACGCATCTAACACAATGTGTTTTTGGAAGATTGCTTACATTTTGGATAATAATTTAATAATAGCTAAATTCAATAATGGTGCAAATTCAACTAACCACACTACTTTTTACAGTCACTCCTGAAGACAGCTGACCAACTGAAGATCAAGGGACTGTGTGAGGTTCCGGAAGGAACAGACACCAAAGACATGCCAGGAGCTGAAGTGACCCCTCTACCTCCCCGTCCAGCGTCCCCCCCGCAGTTACCCCCGTCTACCATCTCTGCGGCGGCGCGAGCTCACAAGTTCCGCAGACTCACTGTGCAGGCCAAGCGCAGACTGGACACCAAGCGACGACTTTACCGAGAGAACCCACAGCAGAAACAACAGGTTAATTTGCTATATTAGGCTTGTTAGAAAATGGATTGTTTTGGAACATGGAAATACGGAATGGAATCTGTCAATGTACGTTATTAGAGTTATTCTTGGGTTTTAATTAACATTTTTTATATCCCCTATGGACCTAGCTTTATGTGCCAAGTAAAAATATTTTACTATTACTTGGCTAGCAGAGGGTATTTAAATTATTAGAGAATATAATAAATGTGTTTTATCATTCAATTTTTGGACTATTATAGAAAAAGACGTCTCATCCATAAGCACCAGCAGTAGGCAGATTTTCATTGAAATATTTGAATGTACTATGATAGAAAGAGCACAATCTATTAGTGTTTCAATTCAGATACTGTTCATTTTGATTTTAAACTGACTTATAGCTTTAGCTAGGGACAAAATGTCTATTTTTTAACTATCCAAGTTTGATGTTTAGGCCTACTTAATTTTTTATGTGTATTTACAATTTGCACTTGTTTTATTATAATTTTTTTAATATTGAACAAATTCCAAATGCAAAAATGTAATTTCACTTTTTAATAGCAATGAACACACAAAAATCATCAGGTTAAACAATATAAAAACTAAGTAACATAACATCTTTTTGTACAGGTGGAGGAGCTGCCTCAGGTCCACCAAACGCAGACGATACATCAACCGCAGCAGCAAATGCTGCAGAACCACCAGAGCCATCAACTTCAACACCAAACGCAGCAAAACCTCCACCAAAACCAACAGACTAATCACAACGTACACCACCAGCAGAACATCCATCAGCAAACGTTGCATCAGCAAAACATACATCAAACACAGCAAAACATGCACCAAACGCAGCAAAACATGCATCAAACGCAGCAAAGCATTCACCAAACACAGAACACGCAGACACAAGTGCATCAGATGAACACTCATCAGCAGAACGTTCATATAGTGCAACAGCAAACGCTTCATCAAACGCAGCAAAGTATGCATCAGACAACTCAACAGCATTTGCAAACGCAGCATATGACACAGAATCATACCCACCAGGAGTCTGCGCAGCAAACGCAGATGATACAGGCTGTGGTCACCACGGTACACGACCCGTCAAATCAGCATAATCAGGTATGTTGATTTAACATTGGGCTCTAGGGCCTGGGTTTAAGAATTGGAGGATGTGTTTGCCTAAATGGGAAGAAGTCCATTCATTTTTAATTCAACGGGAGTGGAATGTCTAGTTCTTTCCATAGTCTCCTCACATATAGTCCATCCTCACACAAACACTTGAACACTTTGTAAATTGATTGGAATATTTCTCTCACACCAACAGAATTTTCAACCAAAGTCGAGTTTGGGAGAGAGATGTCTTTAGGTCCAGATATTGTTGACAGTGTTACCAGTATATGTTTATAGCATAATTGACAACTCTGTCGATGACATCCTGGCCTAAATAAGACCTAAAGACATCTTTCCTTCCAACCCAAACATTCCTTGGTTTTAAATACTCTCAGTAACAATGAAAGATTACAATTTTCTTTTATAGTTTAAAGTGTGTTCTACTTCATGTGCCATAACAGACTCTTTCCCATCCAGTCAAATATCCTTTTCAACAGCAAACCTTAAAACCGAGTGAGTAGTTTGGGTATGCTTTTTGTAAATAACAATTTTGTGGTTTTATTATACACTAAAACCTTATTTATCCGGTATAGACGGGAAAAGGGTCATAACGGATAAACAAATTGCAAGATAAACCGATAATACCAATTTTTGAGATGTAGACATTTAAAAACTCCTTCAGAAAGTCACTGCAATATCCGCAATACAGGAGCGCGTTGTTGTTGCGTTTTCTTTGTGAAGGCATTCTTATTTAATTAATTGCTTACATTAATTTATGTAAATTTGTATCGCACTATACTTTTATAGAAACTTGTTAATTATTTCTCTCAGAAGCTTTTCGCAGATAAATGAATACCGGATAAACGAGGTTTTAGTGTATCTTGGACAAGGCATCAAACATCTCATAAATTAATTATGCTTATTGTATTATGTATATGTAACAGGCTTATTAGTTATTGATGTTAAGGCCATCCATCCTTAATTTAGGGTTTTTATTCATTTGTGGGTTTGTTATATACATGGTGCTTTGATGCTAATTTTGGTGCCCGGTATTTGTAATGTACATTTTGTCTTTGACACTTAAAGTATTGTTAACAGAGACCCACATTCAAATAAAAAGTTTTCCTGTGTGCGACTATCATAACAGATAAACTACACATACTGCAGATAAATCTTTACTGCATTAAAACACGGAGAGCTCATGTTCCTGACTCCATCTGATTTTTTTTTCACCACAGGGATATAAAACTACTTCCGCCACACAACTATTTGGAAATCCATTTTGGAAATCTGGAAGATGTCTTTTATTTAATCTGATATAACTCTAATACGTAATAACAACTAAAAAAAAATTACATGTTGACTAGAAGTGTACAGTGTACGATACGGGGTGTTGTAGATATCATCAGAAAGTTTGGCCAACTGTATAACAGTTGCCACGAGCACAGACGATGATCTCAAGAATGTTTCTGGGGTGGTAATCCTGGAGAGCCGAGTAGGGGGTCACGGGGGGCATCTGCCCCCCCACCACACGGACGCTATCATGATGACAAGCCCCCCTCCTATCATGTCCACACACGCTCTCCCCTCCACGCAGCAAGTATGTGGGTGTTACGCTTGGTATTGAAATGCATGTTTATATTAGGCCTACTTTTTTAGTTGTGTATAGCTTTAGTTATGTACAGATACTCACCTATGCTTGGCTATGTTTTTACAATAAATTATTATGGTCACTTAACAAAAAATATCACAGTTAATTAGATTAAATGGTTAGATTGTGTTTGTGGGGGTTGTGTTGTTGTCGTAATGTGTTGTTAGCATTACCGATTCCTGGCCAAAATTGATTTTCAGGTTTTGGTATTAGTACCTGGTATCCAACTTAAAGGTGCTTAATCAGTTGTATTTAATTTTTAAGCCACAAATTAACAGACCATTTGAATTCAATTAACTTAACTGTTTAGTGGCTATTAACTAGCTAGAGCTACTAGTTTCAACATGTATAGTTTTGACATTTACTTTTTAAAATGCAATTATGCTTGTCATATTGTAAAATTCTAAACCTATTTTAGTGTTTCATGTGTGCTGATGATGCCAACTAAAAGAATTTCTCATGTACAAATTTCGGGAATAGTGTTTTTATGCCCAAATAATAGTTTTTAGATCAGAAATAAGAAGACATAATAGTATCTATCAAGACACACTATATACTTATCATAAACATAGATTAAAATGAGATTTTTTCCAAGAATATCAGAGCAGACTTACCTGAATGAAGAAAAAAATATTTTACACTAAATTAAAAAATTAGAATATTCACTGTCACTGACAGCTTTTTCAACTAAAGAAGATATGTGTTACTGAAAGTGTTGTCTTCAGGTCAACTAATCCAGAAAGTTTTCCAATGCTTTGAAATTCTAAACTTTGTTTCTGGGCTAGATTAGACTCTACTTCATTCAGATAAGAGTCTCTTTCATTCAGACTTGTTTTTCGCGCGTGTGCTCGTCACTAAACACAGAAGGAGTGAAAATGTCCCGTCTGGACAGAAGAGATTCAGCCAAGCCCCGTCCACTCAAGCTAGCTTTCAGAACCGAAGCCGATAATCAAGATTTCTTCAGGCATTTCTCTAAGGACCTTCTCAGCTCTGATCCCAAATTGAAGAATATTTCTATCGGACCAGACCGAACCCCACAGCAACGATCTCTTCTGAATAATTTGAAATATGAACTCGAGCTAAGGAAGAATATTGGCGAGGAGAACATGACAATTAAGTTTATCAAAGGCGTCCCGAAAATCATCACCATGCCCGCTCCTTCAAAAAACGAGTAAAGCACAAATAATAATAATTAACAGGCAGAACACTCCAATGAATCTCTATTTATTCTGAACTCTATTTATTCAGAGTTGATTGATTTACCATTGACTCGTACTTCTTCGAGGTTGAGTGTCTACTTTCAAAATGTGAATGGCTTGCGGTCTAAGACTCAGAACCTTCGTCAAAAAGCCCCCTCTACCTCATACGATATCATATTTGCTGTTGAATCAAATCTTCAGGAAGAAATTAGTGATGGCGAGCTTGGTTTCACTAATCACAACCTATTCAGATGTGACAGATCCCTCATTTCAACAAGCAAAACATCTGGTGGTGGCATTCTTGTTGCAGTTAGGAAGGACATTAAGTCATCACTGATTAGTTTAGAGTGTGGCGAATATGAGGCTCTTTTTCTCTCTATCGTCGTTGGGACTCGGCCTCTGCTGTTCTGTGTAGCTTATGTTCCTCCCAGCAAACCAGCCGCTACATATCTCAATTTTTCACATCTTGTAACAGCCACCTTGGTAAATTATCCAACTCATTCATGCTTAATCTTAGGAGACTTCAATGTCCCAGGGACTGATTGGACCACCCCCATCACTTCGGCTAGTTCCCCTGCTGCACAATGTCTTGTCAACCTCGCAGATATGTTTAACCTCAAGCAAATGAATAATATTTTAAACTCACGAGGTAAAACACTTGACCTCATCTTCACTTCAGACCATTCACTAAAAATCATAAGAGCTTTGGACCCGATTGTTGAGGAGGAACTCCATCACCCTGCTCTCAACTTTGATATTGACTGTAACATTCAGAAATCTTCTGAGTCCGACTTGCCTTCCTTCATTCCTGATTTTCGCCGCTGTGACGTCAAAGCTGTTAGAAATGATCTTGCCGCCACAAACCTCTCCATGGACGAGTCGGTGACCGATGTGGATTTCTTGTTTCAAGCTTTAATTGAAAAACTTCAACACATTGTACTTAAGAATACACCTTTGAAACGCTTAGGAACCGCACGTTTTCCATCTGGGTTCTCGAGGGAACTTCGACATCTTACTATCGAGAAAAAAATTGCTCACCGTGACTTCAAACTACATGGTCAGTATCCCGATCTGGATAAATTCAGGACCTTTCGAAGAAGATGTTCTCTCCTTGCCACCAGATGCTACAATGACTACATCTCTCATCTAGACTCGACATTCTCTAACAATCCAAGACCCCTGTGGAGCCATATAAATAAGATGAAAAGGGTCCAGACTGTCCCAACAAAGATAAAGTACAACGATATTGAAGCATCAGAGCCACTCGACATGTGCAATCTGCTCGTCCATTATTTCTCAAGTGTATTTGCACCCCCGATCCCAAGTAATCTAGTTTTTGATGTCAACACCAGTTTAAACATCAGCTCCTTAATGATATGTGAAAAGGATGTCCTCACCGAACTTAAAAGTCTTGATGAATCCAAGGGCTGCGGTCCAGATAGTGTACCCCCTTCTGTACTGAAGCATTGTGCTGACATCTTAGCACCAATATTAACTGTACTTTTCAACAAATCCCTGCAAGTTGGTATCTTCCCGGAAATATTTAAGTGGGGCTTCATAGTTCCAATTCCAAAGTCAAATGATCCTAGTGTAGCGACTAACCTACGTCCAGTGGTAATATTGTCATCCCCCTCTAAGGTATTCGAAAAGCTTGTTCTCCTTCAACTTGTTCCTGCAACTAAACACATTTTCTTCGCGTCCGAACAACATGGCTTCAGGGCAGGCCATTCAACTATGACCAATCTGCTGACTCTTCAAACCAGAATACATGCATGCTTTTGAGAGGGGCAATCAGGTCGACGTCATATATCTGGGACTATGCAAAAGCGTTCGACAAACTAAACCACTCAACGCTTCTCATTAAATTGAAGAGCTATGGAATCCTAGGAAATCTCTTGAGCTGGTTTGGCAGCTACTTGTCTGGAAGGAGTCTCTGTGTAAAATTCGCTTCCGCAGTATCAGCTCCAATTCCTGCTTATTGCATTGTTATTTATTTTTGTTAATATAGTCTATCCTGTTGTTATTGTTATATCTTGTTCTTGTACAGAGTTTATCATATTGTAATTTTTCTGCAAGTTTTATCTGTTTTTTATGAAGTTTGTTCTGCCTCTTACTGAAGTTTCACTCGGCACTGCATGTTTTTAAATCTCTCGTTTTGTCAACTTGTTCAGATAGTTTGTTATTTATAGTTGTTACTTATAGTTTGTTATTCATAGTTAGTTATTTATATTTTGTTATTTATAGTTGTTATTTATCTTTTTATGTCTTGTTATTGAAGTCTTGTTTTCCAGTTTTTTTTCACTACTTTTGTACTGGCCTGTGATCTTTTTTTCTGCCTCTGTATGTAGATTATTGTATTCTTCATGTAAAAATGGTGCATCCGTTAACAAATTAATAAATAAGCATTCTAATTTTTGTAATGTCATGTCTTGCACTCATGTTACATGCTATCCTTCTAATGTATGATGATCTACTAGGAATTATGTTTAATCTATGGTTTTGGGTGTTCAGGTACTCTTGGAGTCGTCAGGTCTTAGTGTTCACTCTGATGTGGACTCACTCACAGCTGATGTAGGCACTCAGAACACTTCCCCCACCTCTTCATCACTGCTAGCTTCTCCTCAGCATCATCAGGAGATGACAGGTGATCATCTTAATCAATATTTGTGTATTGTGTGAACTCCTCAACGCACCTAACTGGATTAAATCTCTCAATCTATGCTGACTAACTGGCATTAGACAAAGCTTTAGACTGCTTGACCATTGAGTAGACTTAACTACACACTAACAAAACTGGTCAACCAGAAGCACAAGTATAGTTTAAAAAAATTGACTTCCATTTTGCAGCAGATGTCAAGTAACTTATAGTTTGATGAGTCATAGATAGTGTAAGAGGACATTTTGGTTGAGTAACTTATTTGTTCAATTATCAGCTTTTGGAGCAAGATTCTTATTTTTATGAAAGTAATTATTCACATTTTTCAGTCTACTGTATCTTTGGGTTTCATCATTAATCTTTGTTTTGCTTATCTTAATTTTGGGTTAGTGTTAGTTTTGTTAGAGAGTTTACCAAATTATTTGTGGGCCAAGGATATTACAAGCTTACCCACGTTATATTTGCTCCAAACATGATTTTTTTGTCCTACCTTCGAATACTAAAGCTCTTGCTGGAAACCGTTTTAAACATTACTTAGGCTATGCCTAGAGGGTCGTAGAATTATCACAAAGCCAAACCCATTAGTAATTGGTGCGATTTCAACTTGGAACCTCAGGGAGGGAAACCAAAGCAACCATTATATTAGGCCAGCTCCTCATACCAAACAAAATTGAAACAATAGCAACCACTGAACATTTCTTCACTGAGACTCTACTGTCGGGGAAAAAAGTTTGGACACTCGAGTTTGGAGCTCTACAGAATAGTAACGAAACTAACTTAGAAAAACACGTAGTATATATAAATTTTCGTTGTTTTATTCTACGTATTCCTGTGAAAACCAAAAGTTTTTAGCTCGTTTAGGAAATTTTTTATGACAGTCGGAAGCTAAAAACTCCCTGTTTTTAGAGTATCAAAACCCATCTTATGACTTTGAAAATTCGCACTATGTAAACTAAACGTCAGAACTTCATCAAACTTTAATACAATATAGACACATATATAATGAACTAATTTGTGTAGTTTCAGAATTTTTACTCTACCCAAAAAGTTTTTGTTGTAACTTTGGTAAATTAACTTTTTCTCAAAAACGGCAAACGCTAGGAAAATATTTAAAAGATTGTTTTGAAGGTGATTGGTTTTGTATTTGAAATATTGATAATGCTCAACCAAGCTGTGATGCATGTTATTTATATAAATTAACAAAAAACTGGATGATCTCGCGCCTGCAAGGGGTGCAGACGCCATCGCACGCTCAGGAATCCAGTGCAGTGTTGCCACGATGGACCTTGACCGAGCGTAAGGTGATTCACGCAGTGTGTGTCACTGACGACTAACTCACAGGAAATATCAGGTTTGGCATTCTTCCAAAGGGTCCAAAGTTTTACCATCCCAAATATGTCATCAGTAATCCACCTCAGTCTGTCTTCAATTTTAGCTAGTGTCACATCGCTAAAAATGGGTGCTAAATCTAAATTGTCAGATTCGGAATATGCAATGATTGCCAGAGCTATATGTTTTTTTAGAAGTGAGGGAGTGCCGTTGGAGGTCCAAAGCCCTCATTATAAAAGGTGATGGGAAATGGTTAATAATTAATAATAACTGCTGTTCAGTTTTGACTTAACAGTTCGTGCTCCCATCGCTGCCCAGTGTCCAGGTGTTCAATTTGGCAACACTGTACGGGGTTTGCGCCCAGTCAGAGCCGGCGGCGGTCTGGAAGTGCCGTATTCGCCCTCCGCACTATCCAAATAAAATGTTAACTTATATAAATAATATGCGTAACAATGTGATTGAGCAGTATCAATATTTCAAATACAAAACCAATCACCTTCAAAACAAACTTTTCAATTTCTTTCTAGCGTTTGCCGTTTTTTAGAAAAAGTTAATTTACAAAAGTTACAACAAAAACTTTTTGGGTAGAGTAAAAATTCTGAAACTACAAAAATTAATTCATTATATATGTGTCTATATTGTATTAAAGTTTGATAAAGTTTTGACTTTTAGTTTACATTGTACGAATTTTCAAAGTCATAAGATGGGTTTTGATACTCTAAAAACAGGGAGTTTTTACCTTCCTACTGTCATAAAAAATTTCCTAAACGAGCTAAAAAATTTTTGTTTCCACAGGAATACGTAGAATAAGACAACAAAAATTTATATATACTACGTGTTTTTCTAAGTTAGTTTCGTTACTATTCTGTAGAGCTCCAAACTCGAGTGTCTAAACTTTTTTCCCCGACAGTAGGCTCACATTGATCAAGCTATAACCGTGTTACAGTCCTGACGCCTGTAGAGGGCCGAGTGACCGTGGACACAAGTCCTCTCTCGCAAGGTCACGATGGGGAAGACGTTAAGGTCAAGTTTGAGACACTGCGCGCCATGGAGCAGACAGACGCTCTGGATATGGATGCCCACATGAGTGCAGCCGAGAGGGTGAGTACAGTTGTCATAAAATATAAAGTGTAGAGGGTCGATCCAAAACAATTAGGAATTTGGGGTTTACGGATAACAGCATTTTCAGATATTTGGTTATTGACGGAGAAAATGAGACTTATTATTTTAACTTCATTTGATACAATTTAAATTTATTTTTACGTCTTTACATGTATTTTTTAATGGGTTTTCGTAATTTAAATAGCTTTTGCATGTAGATTCCCATCTTCACTTTTGAGCACACAAACACATTTTGTGATGGCTACACGGTTATTTCTATTTTCAAATATTGTGACATTTCCTAGCTTGTAATCTTGAGTGTATAATCGTTTTGCACCATTTACTAACATGTTATATACTTTTTTTACACTCCTAATTTTTAAGAAACAATACACAACTTCGCAAGAATGAATTGACCACCACTTCAAAATAGAGAACAAACTGACTTACAGAAATGCCCTGATTGAAATACAACAGAGTGAAAACAGCCTTAGCAGACGAGAATTTATCCAAGCAGGAAATACTTAATCAGAGGTCACTCCCTGAATGTGATCATCGCACCATTTAATTTAAATTTTTTCTCTCATTTAGTTAACTTTTAGTTTCAAATGACCACACTGCAGATAATTGAAGCTCTACCGTATTTCATTGTGTATCTTTATAGACTTAAGTCCCTGGAACCTAATTTTCTCAGGTTAACTAGCTGAACCCTAACCACTTCCAAAAAAACTTCTTATCCAGCCATATGTCTTCCCCCTTAATATTCTTAGTACTGATTTTGCCGATGTGATAGTGACAATCATGCCATGTTGTCAGAAGCAGGAGAACGGAGAGGAGAGTGTGGAGCATACGATGCACACGATGATGATCACCCCAGAGCTGCTAGGACTGATGCCTTCCAACACCCCGGGGCACCAGGGTAAGTCACCAGTCACCAGATTGGAGATTTTCACATCGATTATTTATTTTTATCAAACACCTGTTTTCTGTTGAAATAATTGCATGTTGTCATCTTAAGAAAGTTTGGACAGACAAGATAACATATTTTGATTTGATAATCCAACTCTTTATAGTACTCTTGGTAATCTGTAGCTGCGACAAATGATATTTTGCAAGATCTCTGTAAAATACAATGGGACTTCACATCTCAATTAACGGGCATTTTTTTAAACTCTGTCTGTCATCTGGAAAACGTGTGTTTTATAACTTTTACTGTAGGTTTTTTTACTCTAGAATTTCCAGCATGCATTTTAGTATGTACATACAATAAATAAATTGTACCCTACTAAAGTGTAGTTCCTCTCATACTGTTACTCATTTCCAAAATCATTGTAATTTTCCAAGTTATCGTAATTTAAGTAGTTTCTGTTATCCGTTTTAGTTAACTGTCATAGTCCTAGTTCCATGGGGATACAATAGTAGAGCTTTTTTTGTACCAGCCTATTGTCTTATGATTGTCTTAGGTCTCTTTATGAGGTAGAGAGCTGGTATTGTAGTAGAACATGGGATTCCATTCTCTAAGGACCCTGGTTCAAATCCTCCCAATCACCAATGGATTTTATCTAAGTGATAACACCGTAACATCTAAGCCTAGTGTGAAGTAATTTAAACAAATATTCCGGGAAAATGCACTCTATATCCTGCATAACTGATATAAACACCTGAGTATTTATTTCTAGATTCACATAGATTGAATTGCATGTTGCAGCTGAAGTGAGTGATTGTCCGAAGAGAGACGCGACCACCTCCAAGACGTGGACACAGGAGGACATGGATGCTGCGTTGGAGGCTCTACGTAACCACACTATGAGCCTCACCAAGGCCTCCATCACGTTCGGCATTCCGTCCACCACACTGTGGCAGCGAGCGCATCGCCTCGGCATCGACACGCCCAAGAAGGACGGCCCGGCTAAGAGTTGGACCGAGGACGTGCTCAATGTCGCACTCGAGGCGTTGCGTAACGGATCCATCTCCGCCAACAAAGCCAGTAAAGCTTATGGTGAGTTCATAATGGACATTGTTGAAACAAAAAAGGGGTATTGTTGTTTTTTTAACAATTAACATTATCAAATTATTTCTTAGAGCGACTGTGATTTAACTTATGAAAGGAATGTTTTACTGGTTCTACCTTTTGTTGAAAAATTTGTACCAGATCCTTACTTTAATTTTATTTCTTGGTTATACTGATTTTTTTATGCATATCTAAGCACAATGAGCTTATGAAAATATCTAAGTTGGGTGAATAAATTTTTTTGAAACAAATTTATAAGTGTGGTATGAGTAAATTTCTGGTGAAATTCCAAAAGTAAGAAGCTTTGATGAGGATTCCAATATTGTCCCATTGACCGTTTTTGTTTGTTGCGTTTCAGGAATTCCGAGCAGCACGCTGTACAAGATTGCACGGAGGGAAGGTATCAGACTGGCAGCTCCGTTCAACGCTGCCCCCACCACCTGGACACCCGAGCACCTGGAGCGAGCGCTGGAGGCGATACGCAGCGGTCAGACGACAGTGCAACGGGCTGCCGCAGACTTTGGCATCCCCAGCGGCACGCTGTACGGGCGTTGCAAGCGGGAAGGCATTGAACTGAGCAGGAGCAACCCAACACCTTGGAGTGAAGATGCAATGACTGAGGCGCTTGAGGCTGTTAGGTAGGGTTAAGTGACGTTTATTTTGATTTTTCTTATTTTCTGTGGTTAGATTTAGAAAATAGTGCGAGCACTGACAGACGTGTGACAGTAACAAAGACCAACAGACAGTACTGTAGTGTAAGTAGCAGTAATTTTGACAGGAGAGATGGACGAGCTCATCACGTCGCGGACTCCCCTTCGATTATCTGATTGGACTCGTCCATCTCTCCTATCAAAATCTGCGTGAGCTCAACGCTTGCCTACTACAAGTCAGAAGTCAATGGTTTAATAGTTTAATTGTCCTCTAGCGGACGATAGCTTCATTTTAAATTATAAGGATTGTATAAAATATAAACCTAAATTGCCTATTTGAGTTTATTTATTCAAAACTAATGCGCAACATTTATTTTATCGTAATTTTAAAAAAATTGGGGGGTTTTTTAGAATTGAGCTTGTTTTATCTAGCATGATCTAGTGTTGAAACTAAATTGTAAGTTGAGGAGCCCGAGGCTCGTTTTATCTAGTGTAAGTTTATGAGTCCAAGGGGGAGGGCTTAAGCCCCGTTAGCCCATATGGTACATCCACCACTGTAGTGTTTATATTTTATAAAATTCAACAATGCTTTAATTAATTAACACTCATCCTTATCACTTCTCTCCTTGCAGGTTGGGTCAGATGAGTATCAATCAAGCAGCTATCCACTACAACCTACCTTACTCGTCTCTGTACGGCCGCTTCAAACGAGTCAAGTACGAGGCGGATCACCCGTCGGCTGGAGAGAATGAGGAACTTCCACTCGTAACTCATCACAGTTTACCAGGTCAGATCATGCTGGTACAGTACCAGCAGCCGACACTCTACCAGCACACTCCTAGCTGAGTATACTTCACTGCTTCGGCCTCTACAAGTCCATCGTAAGCCACTCATCAATGGAAGCGACGTCTCCGGAGAAATCCTTTGGCGAGTAGAAATGTCTTCCTTTGTCAAAGCGAAAGGCTCTTTGAGAAATTCTTTGGTTACTAGAACTACCTATGTTCAAGAAATTCTTTGGAAATGAGAAATGTTGTCCTTGGTCAAAATTACTTAGTGGGAAACTACGTAATTTCCTCCAAAAATTGTTTAGCTAGAAGAAATGTCTTCCTTTGTTCATAAAATAGTTCGATAGTTGGAAGCTGTGTGCTCTCCCTTCAAAAAATCCTTTAACAAGTTTCAAGAGTTCAAAATTAAATTTATGAACTTATTAAAACTTATAAATATTTTTTAATTGTATGAAATAAATTAATTTGTAATGATTTGTGTTTTTAAAATCAATTTAAATGCTGTACATTTTAGAGAATAGATATTTTTAATTTATTATTAAGTGCATTTATTATTGTGCACAATATTTTAAGAAGTTTACATATTTTAACTGTAAACAGTATTTTAAATTATACATTAATAACTGTAATGGTTTACCAACAAAAATATATACCGTGACCTTGTGTGTCCGAAGCTTCTAACATAAAGTAATGTTTGTTTACGTTCAATGGCCAATTTACATCAGAACTAATTGTGATAAAAATTTACTGGGTAATTTTACATTTACTTGATTAGTGCGTTCCTTATATTGTTCCTTATGACCTGATTAAAGACAAACTACCTATCCCAAATGTGTACAAATTTTGTAATTTTAATCATAGACTAGGTTTTGCTATAAGATAGTGACATAGGTGGTTTTAAAAACAAATAAACCTTAGATTAATAGTAGATTAGATACTATTCAAAGGTTTGTTTTATACTTAGATGGTTAAAATGAAAAAAAAAACAAATATTTTCTCTGGAGAAAATATATTAGAAATACATTTTTATTTCATCTAGTACTTTGGCAATATTCATAATTAAGTGCAGTGTTCTTTTAAAATCTTTAAGAAAAAAAAACACTTAAGGAGGACAGAATTTTGTTGTCACTGGAATGGTATGATTTTCGATTGAGTAATACAGTATCTTGAGCTTAACTGATTCAAACTATCAATAGCTCAAATTAAAACTTATAATTTAATTTACTCATTATTTTGAGTCGAAACATATAAAAAAATATGAACGATATGGGAGCTATAGATTTTCAATCATAGAAAAACCTTATGAAAAATAATTGTTATGTTGGTTGTTCACCTTGCGTTTGCTTGAAACTCATCCAATTTGAATAACTAATAGCTTAAATGAAAGTGGACATTTTACTGAAGGTTCTTAGACCAAAATATTAAGGATTATATAATAATAATTGGTGAAATACATCTTAAATTGAAGTAAGAATTCAAAAATGAATAAACTTATGTTTTTTTGGTCAAGTTTGGTTGATGCTTGATGCGAAGTCTTTGCGTGCATGCCTTCAATTTGAGACCTTAATAATGAAAATCGGCATGGTAGAAGAGCCAAATGAACTCGGGAAAGAAAAACCAAATTTAACTCCCATAAGAAATACATAGGAAGCAAATTTGTTTTTACATATAAGCCGAGTAAGATTATAGATGAATATATGCCGAGATGCTTGATGGCAAATCTGCTCTTACATACCTTCAATTTGAGACCTCAATCATGAAAATCGGTCGGGTAGAAGAACCAAACGAGCTCGGAAAAGAGAAACCAAATTTTAATCCCATAAGAAATACATGGGGAGATTATTTTGTGTAGATATAAGCCGAGTGGGACCATAGATGAATATATGTCAATGCTTCAGATGCTTGATGGCAAATCTGTGCGTGCATACCTTCAATTTGAGACCTCAATCATGAAAATGGGTAGGGTAGAAGAGCCAAACGAACTCGGAAAAGAGAAACCAAATTTTAATCCCATAAGAAATACATGGGGAGCAAATAATGTTTACATATAAGCCGGTGGGATTATAGATAAATATATGCGGATGCTTGATGTCAAATCTGTGCGTGCATACCTTCAATTTGAGACCTCAATCTTGAAAATCAGTCGGTTAGAAGAGCCAAACGAACTCGGAAAGGAGAAACCAAATTTAACTCCCATAAGAAATACATGAGGAGCAAATTTCGTTTATGTATAAGCCGATTGGGATTATAGATAAATATATACCGATGCATGATGGCAAATCTGTGCGTGCATACCTTCAATTTGAGACCTCAATCATGAAAATCTGTCAGGTAGCAGAGCCAAACAAACTCGGAAAAGAAAAAAAATATTTTAATATATAAAATAGCCTGTTCTCAAACTTTCCCGTGAAATAACCGTACTGCTAACCCACTGGCCCTAAGTAGTACCACAGAAAACATACTACTATAACCCAGAATGCCAACCGCATGGTATCAACCCGTTCGGCCGACAGTGGCTCGGTAATGTTGGCTAAGGCGTTGTACTGACGAGTGTAGCATTGAGGTCTTTTACATGAGCAGGTTCGAATCCAGTACATGTGCAATCCGTATTGAATTTGCTATTGTGTGGCTTAGCTGGAGTGGAGGGCAGACTAAACGGTGTCCAAAGTGTAATAATTATTGCACACAAAACTTTTTTTACATTGTTTCTTTTTACATTGGTTTGGATGGGGACTTGGGCTAAAAATTTAAACATTGTTGGGAAATATATGATAAAAGGACAAAACCTAAAAAAATATTAATAGAGAAATTAAAAATTGGGTGTCAAAGGGTCAAGTGTTTTTTGCGGTTTGCAATGTATTTTTTGGTTTTTATAACCGACTTTTTTAAACAATCTCTACTTGTGAACTGTAGCTAATTCTCTGGAATTTTAACCAACAAATATAGGACTTCAAACAGTTATTCTAAAATGAGAGAAAATGTAGTTTAACATCAGCGGATTCAGATAAAAACAAATTTTACAATTTATATCCAGATGGTTCTAAAAACTCTATTTACCAATTTCTTTCTGGCTGTTTTCTATAACGGTGCTACATAATTAATTTTGATTTTGATATATCTTGAAATCCAAACTAGATAAAACTTCCTCATCTCAACATTCCTACTGGCACTATAAACTAATACTCAATTTTTACTATTTAAGTAAATTAGACAATATTCAAGAATTTTATATTCATTTTTGTGAAGTTACCTTTTCATATCTAGCTTGTAGCAGTAGGTCTTGAGTATCAAAGTTGTGTTGTATGGTGCTATTTTGATCCCCCCCCCCTCTTCATATTGTGTATATTCAACTATTCAGTTTATTTGTAATTTTCTGGACAACGAGTATGTAATGTGTATACATATTATGTGTAAAATGGTGTCCATTTTTAGTAAAATTATACATTGTTAAAGATGTTACAAAGCAAAATTGGCCTATTAATTTTTAATTGGCTCAATCTGAACTTTTTATTTTGGTCGTTGGCTGTGATGTTTAAAATATGTACATGTATGTATACGTTTACTTTATTTTTCCTGAAAGCAATTAAGAAAGTTCAATTTGTATAGTGAGAGGTGGTATCGTTAAGCTTTTACTGTACTTTTGCCAAATAATAGCAAAAATGTAAAAAAATAATCCTTTTATCTGATGTAGAACCTTGATAAGAAGACCCTCGATAACAAGTCACCCTTGTTAAAAAGTGTAATTTTCAAATGCTCTTGAATTTATTTTACGCCTAATCAGATGTTATTAAAAACTTCAATAAGAAAGAAGTCAACCTTGATAGCAAGTCTAATTTAATAATCCCCATGAGAGTCTTGTTATCAAGGTTCTACTGTATTATTGATAGCTCAATGAAAATTTGTATTTATAGCAAGAATTGATCCTGCTCAAATTTGGACCTCTGAAATCTGTATTAAACTATCCAATAACTCACTTAATTTTTTTGAAATTGATGAAATATTTGTTAAAACTTCCGGATATTAAATACTTTTTTACAAACCAAAGATATTTTTATAAATGAAAAAGCTTAAATATCATCTACGACTATTTTCTTACACTTTTCAATACGGTAAGTTATGTTAGGTTAGGTACCTATGTGTTATTATTTGTTGATATAAGTTGTAAAATATTCTATATAAAAATATTGTTTTATATTGCATATAATTTTTTAAATATTTTGTAAATCTGTAAATATGTAACATTTGTAAATATACAACTTGTGAAACAACTTTTGTTGTTCTTTTATTACCAGAACTACTTACTTACTTTTATTACTTTTGATCGATTTGTCAAGAAAAGGAATAATAGTTAATGAAATGGGGGTCTATAAAAAAATAAGTCATATAAATGTGTACATATAATCTATAATTTATACACTTTTTGATAATTCAATGGATCAGAAGTCTGGAGAAAGGTTCTTTCTAAAAATTGTTGCTGAAGAGTTTACGTTCTAAGTTGTTTACAAAATATTGATTGTTGGTCTTGCATATGGTCACTGGTAGTTTCAGGGGGAGGGCTATAGAGGCTAACCCCCCCCCCATTTAGGTTTTTGGGCACAGTTCTAGGCATTAAAATTACTAAAAAAAATCATCAAATGGCTTTAAAAATAGCGATTTTTGGGGAAGGAAAGCTTTCCCCCATTGGACCTGGAAAAATCAATTTGATTGATTTTGTCCTAAACACATAACAAAGTTTTTTGGATACAGTTCTAGACGTTAAAAATAGCTTTGGAAATTCACCAAACGGCTTTAAAAATACCAGATTTTCCAGAGGGGGGACCCCTGAACCCCCTTCTTTTCTTTGAGAATGTGGCACACCCGCGGTAGCCCCCCTTCACAAGATCCTAGGACCACCACTGCATGAAACTGTGTGTATTGGCTACAAGCTAGTTCATACGTGACGTGATGTGAAGTTACAGTGGGTTAACACCTACTGTGGCAATTTTAGGACTAGTTTGTCCTCATCCACCAAGGAAGGGATTGCAGCTACGGCAGGTACGTGTGTGTACATTACGAAAAAAAGTTTAATTACAATTTTAAATTCTGCCGCAGCCGCTGGTTAGGGTAAAGGTCCATTTCCTATCCTGCGACTGTTACGACTCTAGCCGCGCGTCTAGAGCCGTTGGGCTGGAGACGCTTGTCTCAATTCCTATGCCGCGACTCCTACAACTCCCACGACTAGTCGACTAGTGACTAGTGAAATTGCACTACTGACCGTCATGGAATAAGCACAGTTGGCAGTGAATATATTACTTGGAGAAAAGGAGGAAAAGGAATTATTAATGTGCATGGTAAAAAACAATGAACAACCTAATCCATTGTTCATGGTACGGTGAAAATAGGGGTTTCAGAGTATTCTTATTCAGAGACATCTTCAAGTATTGGGGGTGAACGTATGGGTGGTGACGAACCAGTTCCATCAACTTTGAATCATCTATGAAGGTACACACTTCAAAATTCGTATGTATAAACTATAAATTCGTTACAGCCGCGTGACTGAACTGCTCACGGATGGAGCAGTCCAGTCGCGACGGCTTCAGTCAGAAAGCTGTCAATTTTTTCAGCTGCGTGGCTGGAGCCGCGCGACTAGAGTAGTAACGCAGGATAGGAAATGGACCTTAAGGTTGGTTGGTTTTTATTTATATTGGTGAGGTTGGGCGTAAGGTGTGGTTCATGCTTGTTTGGGCGGGTTGTTGGGGTTGAGTTTATTCATTTCATCATATAGGTAAGTTTGCTATGAATCTATTTAATTACGATATATTCATTTTGCAAGATAAAGGATACATAAATCTGAGGGTGCGTCAAACAATTTGTTATGAATACATATTTATTGCTTGCAAAAAGTATACACTTTTTAAAATTACACCAAAGCACAACATACACATTTTTAGTTCGGAGGGTTGAATGGTTGTAGGTGTTTCGTGGGGATTCATAGGAGATGGACTTCAGCATCAAAAAGACAATGGTATATGTTACTACTTGTGGAAATCATCCACTAAGGCTTTTTTAACATATCGACAAATAAGCAGATTAATGTAAAATTATTCAATTGAAAATGTAGGTATATACTGTTTTGATCAGATGAAAAGTATCCAAATTTTGCAAATTTTCATTATCCAAGACACTGTCTGACACTATCTGAAAAGACACCACAATATTAATGGGGAGGAAACTCTACAATACACTACCCATCGAGTTGAAGGAAATAATAGAGGAGAACAGCTTTAGAAAAAAGGATTTTTTGATAAAAAAATGTATTATTCAGTTGATGCATTTTTAAATGATAAGTTTTAGAAAACAACTTGTAAAGGGATAATTCATGTTCTTAAAATGATTTCTGTGAGGTTTGATTAATTTTCTGGATACTTATTGCTAGTTGTACTCAATTATGATAACTTTACTGCATTGACAATGTCATCTATTCTGTTCTAGCTTTGTTAGTTTTTAAAGAATGTCTGTTATGACAATAAAGATATTCTTATTCTTATTCTCAAAGTAGGTGGTTACTTAAGATAGGTATTTGTTTAAGAGGTATTTTTTTTTTACCTTCTCCTTCTATACATAGTATGGAGAAAGAATAGGTAGTTTTCGTCATAATTTTCGAGTTTATAATTACTGGGTGGAAATATAATGGAAATATAAATATAATTTGAAATTTTGACTCTTAAGTTTGGCTCTACCTTTGGCTCGGATTTCTCATAACGATGTTGCGTTTGGTAGGTTCGGTACGTTACGGATTCAAATTTCTAGTTGTAGAGGGCCACGGCAACTGCCTTTGTAACCTACCTATAAATTCTAGTGAAAACAATATACGGGATTTTAAAGAACAAGGAACAACCTTTTGCAATCCTGGTTTCAGAGTTTTAAAGTACCGTAATGATTCTATAATAAGTTACTGCAGTTTAAAATTGTCATTTTCATCTACATTCAAAAGATTTTCAGGCTTTATGGTACGATAGTAAACACTGCAACCACCACATTTTAGATCATTAATACTTTTAGAGTCATTTCACTTTTCTACGTGAGGTGAAATAGCCTTCGGAAAGGGACCGCGTCTCGTTGTCCCTCCGTCTCGTTGTCCCTCCGTCTACTTGTACCTCGAGGCCTAGGGACAACTAGTCGTAGGTACAACTAGACGTAGGTACAAGTAGACGGTGGCTCACCCGACTAGTTGTACCTGCAGATTTTTAGGAGGTACAGCTAGACGTAGGTACAAGTAGACGTAGGTACAACTAGACGTGTATCCCACCGACAAGTAGTATCGCCTAGCTTGTACGGATGCGACCAGTTGTCCCTACGACTAGTAGTCCCTACGACTAGTAGTCTCTACGACTAGTGGTCCCTCCGTCTAGTAGTCCCTACGTCTAGTTGTACCTACGCGTATTTTGCGTCCTTATAGTCTAGTTGTATCTATCCTTCAATTCGTTACCCTGTTTAATTGATTACTGCACGAGTACTTTTTAATAATACCCTTAATTAAATCAGGAACTGCAGTGTTCCGAGTCGATTGAGTATGATTGGCAAATATTTTTCACCGCAATACGATGTTTTAGTAGTTTTACAGACGTTAATTGGAGGCTGAAAGCTACGCATTGCTGTCCAGGGTCGAAATGGCAGCTATAGTTGTGATTAAAATTTTCCAGCCCTAGTACCGAAAATCGCTTATTTAATTAAAACATTTATATATATCATTAAATATACAAGCAGTATATCCCTAATGAATTGCAATAGACCGCTGCCCAGCAATTATGTATTACTATTTTTGCTGATTCCTTTAAATATTTTTTCACATAACCTTAAAGTATTTGCATTGATTAGTGTGCATATCCTATAGTTTACAATGGATTTCCCAGTGATCAATGAACAATGAAGTGTACAATGAAGTTGAGGTCCAGCGGTTGAAAACTCGACAAAAACTATGCAATGTACTACACATACTTCTCCATTTAACATACACTGTAAATAATAAATGTGATTGGAATATATTCCATTTGTTTTGATTTTATTTTCATAATTAGTTGTTATTTCGTCACCAGCATAGCAACCCGTTAAACCCATGTTAGTTTTAAACATTTGTAATTCTTTTTTTATGTCTTTTTAGCCTATTTTAATTAATAAAGGCATTCTGTAGATCGACAGGAAAATACATTTCCACCGATATGCGGATATTTTCTCTGTGATGTTCACGAGCTGATAAAAAGGTTGTAAAGAAACATGCTTGCCTACATTATTGATATATTTTCTCAGTTTTGTATAGTTTGGTGAAAAACAGCAATCGTGCCACGGACCGATTTCATCTTCGTCTCGAACTTAAAAATGATCCCGAGCTGAAAAAAAGTCATTTTCGGCCCTAGGTACGAAATATACTCTTAAACTATCGCAGGATCGGTGAATACTAAACTCTATCTTGGAATTGCATACACTCGCTCCTATCTTTAAGTTTACGTTGTTGCCATACAATAAATGTATAAATAAACACAAAAATTCACAAGTTTTGTTGTAAGTACCTATATCATGTATAAATAAAAACATACAATAGCATCATGTGTAAGTGTATTCTGTAAAACTTTAAACAAATATTAGTAAAATAGTTTTCAGGTAAACTATTGTTGAATGAATTAGTTTTAAGTTGTTAAATTAACCTCGACCCGTGCTATATGTTTAATGGAGTTTGTCCGGAAAAATACCATAGTAAAATTAAATCAAATAAATAAAATCAAAAGCAATTCATAACAAAAGAATAATAGATACAGACTGAACGTAATTTCTGAAAATCGACAGGGCCCACATAGGCTATGCGAAGCCTGTGCGTGGGGACCAAGTTGACTCAATAATTGGAAATTTGTCATAGTCTTGTAACATAATTAAATACCACTACTATAATTATCAATACATTTTCAAAGGAGAAACAAACGTCCGATTATTTCTAGGCAGCCACAACAGATAACTTTAGAAAACTACGTTATAAGAATTAGAACAACTCGAAAATTAAATTGTTAACATGATTTGTTTAGCCTAACGAAGAAAATCATGAAAACCAAATTTAACTCCCATAAGAAAAACATGGGGAGCAATTTCGTTTACGTATAAGCCGAGTGAGATACAGTAATGGAAAAATATACGCCGATGCTTGATGGCAAATCTGTGCGTGCATACCTTTAATTTGAGACCTCAATAATAAAAATGGTCGGGTAGCAGAG